GCCTTTGGTGCAGCTGTTGAAAGTAAACAGAGGAACCCTTTGAGGGGGGGAAAGTGGTATCCTGGCTCCCCCTCTCCTCTTTTCCCAGCAGCAAGGAAACTCCTGACCAGTGTTCCCTCTAAGCTGAGTTAGTGTGAGCTAGCTCACAATTTGTTAGCCTCTGGCTCACACATTTTTGTCTTAGCTCAGGAAGGACAGCCCCAGAGCAAACTAATTTATGCAGTAGCCAAATTGCTCGCTCACAACTTTAATGCCAGTAGCTCACAAAGTAGAATTTTCGCTTACAAGACTCCACAGCTTAGAGGGAACATTGCTCCTGACTTGGGTGTCAGGCCTGCATCCCCCCCTCCACCTCGTGTTGCAGTCTAAGGCAGGGGTGTCGAACTCATTTGTTATGAGGGCTGGATCTGATATAAATGAGACCTTGTTGGGCTGGGCCATGTGTGTCATAAAATGTAATGCCAGGTAGCAGAGATATAAACTTTATAAAAGGACACAAACACAAAACTTTTTTTTTACTTAAAATAAAAGCATGCTTAAAACATTAGCACTCTTGCAATATTTTGTTTATTTAATAGTGTCTGATAACTGACACCTCTTGCTCTGAATTATTGCATCAAAATGTCTGTGCTGTTGCAATCTTGAGTACGCTGTTCAGGTGTGTATCTGTAAACTGCAAACCTATGATGACGCAGCAGCAGCAGCAGAACTGGAAGCAGAAGACAGCCAGTTCCACTGCGGGCCTGACAGAAGCCCTCCAAGGGCCTTATCTGGCCCCCGGGACACATGTTTGACACCCCTGGTCTAAGGAGTGTTCAGACTGAAAGTGAAAAGATGCCTCTTGCAGCAGACAAACAGGCCTCCGGCCCACATGTGGGTTGCTGCTTTGTCATCCCCATAAACCTCCTTTCCTATCCCCTCCCCAAACCCCACTCTCCTGGGGTCTACCCCCAAATCTCCAGGAATTTCCCAGCCCTGAGATGGTAACTGTAGGTCAGAATCTGAGAAGGCGGGGCCCAGACTCCCCGCTCAGTTTCATTCCCACTTGCGGGGTGGGGATAGAGGAAATGGATTAGGGGTGGCTGGGCGAGCGGGCGGGCTCACAAGCTCTTGAAAACGAAGATGGAGGGCAGGATTTTTGCCTGTGGGAGGGGGTGAGGAAGTCAGATGTGGGGGGGGGCAGGATAGGACTTCTTTGGAAGGGGAAGTAAGCTCTGAGGGGAGGCCAGGTGGGGGGTCAGGACTTCCATCAGAGAGAGGGGGTGGGGTCAATGGTGGGGAGGATGTTAATTTTACCTACCTCAGGGAAGGAAGGAAAAGGAGTTTGTAAGCCGCTCTGAGACTCCTTTGGGTAGTGAAGGGCGGGGTATAAATCCAATCTCTTCTTCTTCTTCCATCAGAGAGGGGGGGTGGGGTCAATGGTGGGGAGGATGTTACTTTTATTTATTTAGAACATTCATATGCTGCCTCTTTAGAGACCTGGAGTTAGTTTGCTGTGCCTTGGCTTCCTTAGTCCTATTTGGAGGGGGGGGCATCCACAGGTTGTCTCCTACTTTGCTGTGATCTGGTTGGATCTGTTCTTTTGGGCAAGTTT